CCCCAAAACCCCAAAACCCCAAAACCCCTTTAAGAATCATTTAGTTATGAAATTTAAAATGTGAAAATTTAATAATCTAACTTAAATTACAAACTTTAAAAATGAGTAAAGAAATTGAAATCTAATCCTTACTAACTTTACTTAATAGGAAGGAAGAATCAAAACATCCATGAGTAATTCAAAGAAGAAGAAGCTAAATCAATGCAGTTCATGCAGAAACTGAATTAAATCAAGAAGTCAAACAAAGAATCCAAGGAGAGGACAGTTATCAATCAGCATAAACTTGAGTGGTTTAAGAAATTCAGACAATCTCAGAAAAGAGAGTAAGAATTCATACAGTTATTCTATTAATATTCTGAGTCTCATTTTCATTATCGCATCAGACTTTTAAAATTTACAAAAAACCGACTTGAGAATGATAATTATATTTATAGGAAATAACTTGAAGATGAACTAAATGAATTCATAAGCAAAAATCCGAATTTGACAACAAACTACGACGAATCGAAGTACCTGCACAATTAAGTTGAATCTTATCAGTTATCAACCAATGAATCCTCTAAAATGCTTTCTATTATGCCAGATAGCCAGCTAGATTCTATGAACTAGGGAGGTATGGATGATATAGAGACCTCAATGCAGAGTGATAATAAGTCTACTATTTTCAAAACATAGCCAAATGAAGTCATAATTAGAACAAGACAGTCAAATATCCCTGAAAGCCCAATTGATAGGTTCTCGATGCAAGATCTTAAGTCTGAAGAGTATCATCAGAGCATTAAGAGACAAGATTTCCAAAAGCAACTGTATCAGTCTGTATTTGGCTTAAAGTCCTATATAAACTCAATTAAGGAGGATTTTAAAACCATGAAAATGAAACCGAAGGCAGCTGCATAAATTAAACAAGACATAGAAAGAAAATAGCAAGAGATAGACAAGTTAATAGAGTAAATGAAGGAAGGCTTCATTGAAATCGGCAAGCAATTGAAAAGTGAGATGAGCTAGGTGAACATTGAGTTGGGCTTTCATAGATAAGAACTAGCAGAAATACTAGGGTTTGAAGACCAGGTGAAAGGATTTGACCTTGAATTTATGACTGATGAGTCAATAGATTTTCTAGACATCTATGCATAGTTCTTAGGGTAAGCTAATATACTTACTTAATTTTTACTACAGAGATGATGAGTATTGTAAAATGAAGGAGAACTACTAAAAGGCTCTGGGAACAATGCATGATATAAACACATTGGAGTTGGAAAGATATAGAATGAACTGCCCAATCGAATATGAAGAATTGCTGTAATAGTTTGGATAACAGACCTTGCTTAGATTCTAAGCTATTCATGATAGCTATCTAAAATAGGGAAAAACAAGAGAGATGTACATGTAGAGACTCTAATTAGAATTCAAGGATGAGTAACTAAAGAAAGATGATTATGAGTTGCTTGATCAATATTATGAACATAAAAGGTGGTTCAAGTAAAAATCAAAAGCTTTATTCAGAGATTGGGAAAGAGATAAAAAAGATCTTAAAGAAAAGGCAGTCAGACTTATTGAGTAAGAAGTAGAAGAAAACAAGGCTAAGTTGATGAAAGAATTAGAGCTTCTTAAGACTGAAAGCTAAAAGGATTAAAAACATAAAGTAGTTGAGGAAAAAAGGAAAGATTATGAAGAAAAAATGAAAATTATCAAGGAAATTGAACTAGAAAAGAAAAGATAGGAAGAGGAGGAAAAGCGATAGAAAGATGATATTCAGAAGAAGAGAGCTGAGGAACAAAAGTAAATAGCTTCAAGCTATAAGCAGGTCAAGAAAGAAGAGTAATAAAAGAAAACTATACTTGATAAAGAAAAGGAAGAAGAGGACAAGAGGAAGATACTCGAAGAGTTAAAGAAAAATAAAGACAAGATAGATAGCATACAGAATAGAGAACTTGAAAAAGTAGAGTAGAAGCATTAGTTGATATAATAGAAGGCTATGGCACCAAAACTTTAAAAGGAGAGATTAGATAAGGCTGTTGAGAATTACAGCTTTAGACCCTAGGTAGAGGCAGACTAGGATAGGTTAATTAAGGAAACAGCAGCAAGAGAGATAAGGAAAATAACTATTAGAGATAATGCAGATCAAGTGAATTTATTCCAGAATCCTGGTTATACGATCGATGGATTGATGAAGGATATTAGATATAAAGTGAGTACAGCATTAGCAGAAGCAGGATTACAGAATACCAGTTATGGCTAGTAGGTTCTTAAAGGTCTCAGCTCCAATGTGCAGCCAAGAAGTGACATGATGGGAAATAAATTCTGAAATTTGCCTAATCTTATGAAATAAAGAAAAGCTGATTTCTTTAAATATTAATCTTAATTTCATAATAACTAGCTTAATAATCAGAATTAATATCAGTGAATTATATAATCATAGTTCTCATAGTGTTAGGACATTGGTCTTTCTATTTAAAAGATTTTCACAGTCTTTGAAAACATCTTTCAAGCCCTACTCATCCTTAGTAGTTTAGACGGTAGTAGGGAACATGTTCTTGCCTGGGTTTCCTTGATAGATCTCAGGGGTGTACCATTCTTCATTTACTCTGTACTCAATGTTTTCATCTCCACCAATATCTATATTTCCGGTTTCTATCACTGGGATTCCATCTCTATGACCATCAAGAGCTTTTAGTTTTGGGATCACTTCAAAGATCTTTTTGCGATAGTTCTTGATTGAACATACTGGATTAGGACTAGCTTGGTTGAATTCTTGCAAATAAAGTATTCTGAGGTTAAGCAGGACTGGACCTATACTCTCAAAAGTCCTAGTGTCTTTGACTTAGTTTGCTTAAAGATCTAATCTCTCTAATGCGACACAACCCTTTAAAGGATCAACTTATGTTATTTTATTGAAGGCAAGATTCAAATGTTTCAGATTAATTAGAGTCTCAATTCCAGATAAAACAGAGAGGTTATTATTTGAAAGATCAAGCATTAAAAGATTCGTGCATTCAGGGATTGAACCAATAGCATTTATTTATTTCCTTGATAGATCTAGCAAGAAAATAGTCATAAGATCAAATTTCTATGTAAATGTTTTCAAAAATAAAGGGGTTAGCTTGCGATCTTTACTGCTTTCCATTTTGAATTAAGAATTTATTAAATTAACTGTTATTATAAAATCAAGGTTAACTTTAAATCTGATAACTAATTGTCAAAAAAAAATAAGAAATCAATTTGGATCATTCAGATGGTTTAATAGATTTCTACTCTTCTGCATTTTAATTATCTTGCTTATTGCTTTCTTGCTATTATTCCAAATACACTAAAATGCATCCTATCTCACATTCAGTTGAATCATTTGTGAAAAATGCATATTCGTATTTATCATTAAGCATCTTATGAATAAACATTACTTAATCTAAATCTTCATCAATCATTCTTTCTCTATTACTTGAGATCTATTTCGTCCCCTAAGATTTATCACATATAATTGCATATAAACAATGAGCTTTTGCTTTTAAATCTTCAGCTATTTTTGTTTACTAATCTAAATACCCCTAAGCTGCTTTTAAACCTTAGGTTATCTTTCTATAACTATAATTTCTGGGCATCTGCCTCACATCTACCTATCTCTTTCTAAAGTCTTTTTCTTTATTGAGCATCCAGAATATCTGCTTGTAGAACTTAAATGGCTGCTTCATGTATTCTAGTTTTTCATATTACTAGAGCAGCGACTCTCTGAGTTGATGAGCTGCACCTGAGATCTTCTCAAGATCTTTGATACTTTACTTGCATTCTTCTAGACAATCACTGAGATCTCCCAGTGTATATTTCTTATTCAAAGGATACCTTCTTTTAATTTTTTCGAATCTAATTTTAATAGCATTTTTGTTCTTCCAATCATATCGCAGGGACTATTAATCAATGTGCATTATGAAATATTTTAAAGGTAGAATTTTGCCTTTAGTATTTATCTAGATAACTCCATCAGGAGATCTAAAGTCAATTATCTCATATGGATTAAATGATGAATTGTGTATTTTAAGGATCTCTATCATATCTTATTGATACTTTTCTATAATTGTAATATAAATAATGAATTGAATTAATGCTACCATCTCTATTATTAACTGATTTAGAAAGTTTTCCTACATTTTCTAGAGGATTTCTTATGATATCCTCGTCATATTATATTTCCATTTTATATTTTACTTTTATATTTTTACATTCTATATTTTCACAAGGGGTTTTGGGGTTTTGGGGTTTTGGGG